GAAGTCTTCTGGCTGATACATATCAGAAGGTCCTTTAAAGGTCTTTACCAACATGGATGCCAAATGACAGCTGTCTTAGTTAGAAAAAGTAGCAGTGATAACCACACAACAGGTTTGTCTTAGAAAATCTAGAGGATTTCTTACACAGATCTTGGACAGTACTGGGATATCTTTAACTGAAGTTTAACTGAGAAGGCTTCTGTGAAGCTCCTCGGGATATTTTTCAATTTTAGAGGCAACACATGACTGCAAATTGTTATATTATCACCAACATACCTAGCAAGCCACATCTTTTTCTCTCTCTCCCTGGTAAGAATGAAATATGAATTCTGCTTAAGGCAAATTTTTGGCCATTTAAAAAACATGACTTCCAATCAGCCTCAAATCATACAAAGCTTCCAACTGTTTTGGTTTGCCTTCCTTCAGCTCTTTTCACATGATGGCTTCAACAATCTTTTCCCTAGGGTGGGGGAGTTCAAAACAAAGGGGCACATTTTTCGGGTGAGAGGGGAAAGATTTAAAAAGGACATGAGGGGCAACTTTTTCCATACAGAGTGGTTTGTGCATGGAATGCCAGAGAAAGTGGCAGATGCAGGTACAGTTAAAACGTTTAAAAGACATCTGGGTAAGTTCATAAATAGGGAAGACTTGGAGGGATATGGGCGAAGTGCAGGCAGGTGGGGCTAGTTTGGTTTGGGAACATAGTTGGCATGGACCGGTTGGACTGAAGTGTCTGTTTCCATGCTGTCCAACTCTATGACCACTCCTCCCATCTTCAATATTAAAATCAGATGCTCTTATTGCATATGTGACTAGAATGCTACTTTGTTCAAAATTAAAACCTGATTATTTAAAAAACATTTTATCAATTGCATTGTGCATGAGTGAGAAGTTTACTTTTACACAAAATAAGATTTTATCTGTCTCATGGAGATAATCTGTATCTCATGCAACAACATGATCATGACAAAAGCCATGATACTTGATGAAATTAATTAAAAACTTACCAGGTGTTTAAAATAGGTGTCGAACATGAATTCTGAATTGTTCTGTTAGCCAAGAAAGGTTTAAAGTGGCTTGAAACAGTATATTTGAGATGAAGCATCCTGAATGATTTAATAGGTCGTGAAGTGGTAGGGTGTAAAGCTGATGCAACATGCAGAGGAGAGCAAGAGACAATTTAATCTAATGTAACATGAATGGAAAAGAGACAAATAGATGGAAGTGAGCTAGTAGAAAGGCGATACTGTAGTTGTCCTGAAGGAGGAAGAAAAGCAAGAAATGCAAAGATAGGTAAAGTAAAATAATGCACAAAGATCAAAACAAATGTTATACATTTTCCAGACCATGGCTGTTCATCAATTCTTCATAGGCTAATTTTTTTCAAGTCATCTCATTAATCTCATTAGATACTAAGATAATGTATCTGTATAACTTAACTATTGCAATAAAATGGCACATTTTGTCCAAATATTTTACCTTGCATTTTGTAAGAACACCAATGTAAAAGGATAAAAATATTTTATACTGCATGATGAGCGAAATGGCACATTCTGCCCAATGGCACATTCTGACGTACTAACGTACAGAGATGATAACAGTAGTAATCAAGATGGAAGAAATTGTTCATGTTTTCAAGTTGTTTAAATCAAGCGTGGAGTTCTGAAGGTTGTAAAGTGCTGAAGTGGAAAAAAAGAGGTGTTGTTTCTACAGCTTGCGCAGAGCTTCACTGGAGCACTGAATAGGCCCAGGATGGAAAAGTTGGCATGGGAGCAAGACAGCTTATTGAAATGGCAAGCAACTGGAAGATCAGCAGAATTGATATACCGTTTCCTCTTCAAAATTTATCCAAGTCAATCTCTACTTTCCCATCATTAGCACCTCCTCTGAGCACCTTCATAATTTAAAAGTATGTCATCTCACCCCCTCCAAAGCCCATCCTGCTATGTGCCAAACCAGACGAGCATACCCCAAAAACTAGAGTAATTAACACTGTGCTAGTTGCACAGTCGTTAATTCCAAGGTAGATACGGTTCTATTTAATTCTCTTACCCACTCAGATTGATTGATCACTCCAGTGATCAATCAATATCACGTGTTAGGCTGGGGGAGTGGGAGACCTTCACACAAATCAAGGCCGACCGGGAGATTCTCTTGCTCTTGTTTTCCATTGAAGTGTAGGAGGTTGAAGGGTTACCTTACTGAGGTTTATGAAATCATGGGAGGCACAGATAAAGTGATTGGCCAAGGTCTTTTTCCAAGGGTAAGGGTGTCCAAAACACGGGGGCCTATTTTTAAGCTGAGAGGAGAAAGGTTTAAAAGAGACCGGAGGGGCAACTTTTTCACACCAAGTGGTTGGTGCGTGGAATGAAGTGGTAGATGCAGATGCAGTTAGGACATTCAAAAAACATTCAGGCAGGTACATGTGGATAAGAAAGGTTTAGAAGGATATGGGCCAAACGCAGGTAAATGGCACTAGCTTAGTTTGGGAAACTTGGTCAGCATGGACGAGTTGGACTGCAGGTCTGTTTCCATGCTGTATGAATCTATAACTCTATTTGTTCCACTAACTCACTCCTTTTTTGTCAACAGCATAAAGAACATAATTTCCCAGCCCCCTTCAATTCGGAAATATCATCTTTGGACTTGAAACCTTAACGGTTTCTCTCTCCTCAGATGCTACTAGACCTGAATTTCTCCAGCATTTTCTGCTTCTATTTCAGATTTCCAGCATCCAGTGTTTTGTTTTTATTTGAGTGTAAACATTATAACCTTGTTACGAATCTGATCAATCCACATAAATACTTGCTCAATCATTGGACTGTGTCTCACTTTAGCAAGATCAATACACTTGGAAATGAAAATTAGCACAACTTGGGGTATACTACACTATTAGAGAAATTCACATCTATCAGAGTCCACTTGCCAACAAATCAGAACTCTCTTCTGATACAACATAACATGTTGTTCACCTTTCCAGTGGCATTCTTGCTAATGTTCTGATGCATGCAAGCTGAAAAGTTTTGATAAAATGCGACATTTTTCAGCGGTTCTATGCTACTAAATGTATTCCCAAGTACAGAATCTCTTACTTTAGTAAAACTACAAAAACTAGAAAACTAGAATTTTTCTAGTATTTATCATGGCCAATCCATCCTAACCTGTATATCCCTGGACACTATGGGACAATTTAACATGATGAATCTTGTGACGAATCATAACCTGCACATCTTTGACCTGTGGAAGGAAACTGGGCAGAATGTCTGTGTAGAGTTTGCAAAGGCATCCAAGGCTGGAATTCACATCTATAGATAAAAACTAGAAAAGCTACAAAAGATTGTTATTAACGAGACTTTCCAACAGCTTCGTTCTGTTTTTGTAAACAAAGACTTCAGCAATAAAATCTTCAGTGAACTTTCAAAATGATACAAGTTTCAAATGTTCTTCAACAAAGTTTTTACTTCAAACTGTAATGTGAGAAAAGATCTTTCCAAATTAGGCAATTCAAGTAATAGAAACACAACTAAATTCCTGGCAAACAGGTGGATTACATTTCATTTCATACCCAGGAAAGTACTGCACAATCGGAATGGAGTGACACCAAGCAGGTACTGATACCTATTTTTCAGCCTGCCTGATTTTCCTTGACAAAAAATAATTGGGGGCAATAGCTGGCTGATGCACTATTTATATTTTGCATTTCCCAATGTTGAATTTTACTCCTAAAATTCCTAGTTCTACAATATAAAGGACAAGAAATTACAAAACATTGTAGATTTATATTTTTGAAATTGTCTGCATTTTCAAACACTAGCTTTTATAATAAGTTTAATTTGGCTGCATGGCACGGTGGCTCAGTGGTTGGCACTGCTGCCTCACAGCACCAGGGACCCAGGTTCAATTCCAGCCTTGGATGCCTTTGCAAACTCTACACAGACATTCTGCCCAGTTTCCTTCCACAGTCCAAAGATGTGCAGGTTATGATTCGTCACAAGATTCATCATGTTAAATTGTCCCATAATGTCCAGGGATATGCAGGTTAGGATGGATTGGCCATGATAAATACAGGGTTATGGGGACAGGATAGGGGGCTGGGACTGGGTCTGAGTGAGATGCTCCTCGGAGAGTCGGTGCAGACTTGATGGGCCGAATGGTCTCTTTCTGCACTGTGGAGATTCTTTGCATTCTGCAATGCCTGTTGTGAGGCATATTCCAAGACTCAATTATCCCAACAGAAGCTAAGCAACATGCTTTTTTCTGCAAAGGTATCTTTCATTATCTAAACTAAAATATTCAGCAAGTAAATTATTAGTGAGGACTCAAAAAACAAGTTTTACAAACTGCTAGGTATTTAAAGTCCAAGCTGACTAACTATAAAGATGCAGACTCTGACTTCAGTGTCAATCATGTAGGCCAGATACAACTGTTCATGTTACTTCTAAATGTTTCCATTCCAATTTCATGACAATGATCTCACTACCCCCACAGCCTCTACAGCCCCTTTAAATAAGCAAACAGTAATTATGTTTTAGTTCTGCATATGGTTTTCTACCTCAAGGCTAAGATTTAAATTCAGCGTGCACTAATGGAATCATGTTTACTCTTCCAGCTAGACGGATCTTCTGCAAATGAGTTTCAAATCAGAATGCAGTTTCTGTGGAGGTATCACTGTGCAACATGTAAGCACTGATATTTTAATTTTAAACAGGTATGGCCATAATTACACAGAAAATATAAATTCACAGTGATGCACAGGGTGTTTTTCTGGATATAATGTTCAAGACATTCCTCAAACAAAATGGAACTTTCCTGTGCATTGAGCTGTACTTTTCCTAACCTCAAGGGGAGGGAAAAATCTTTGAACTGTGCACTGTTGCAACAACATCCCTTTTAATGTTTGTTTCTTGCTCAAATTACAAATTTATTTTAAAATGTAGGGAGACTCCTTATAATCAAGAGGCTGTACTTCATAAGTGATAACATTTAAATGACAGCTTTACCTTCATAACATTAAACAGAACCTCTTGTCCAAGGCTATCTTTTTCTTTGAAAAAATCATGTTCTGGATATGTTCTAGCAATGTCTCTTCTGATAAGTTTTTCACATGGTGAGGTCATCTTCAATAGCTCTGAATACTGGTCTTTAATAGGCATATTTTGAGCATTGCATAGTAGCTGCCATACGATAGCTCGAAAATGATGAGGAATCCCTTTTCGAACAAGTTCCTGAAAGGTATAGAAAATAATTTCAAAATCTCAGTTTGTGCTGGTTTTCATTGGAAGCTTGTTTAACATGGCTGTTGCACACAGAGAGACAAATTAGTGCTGTAGTGTATTAGAATCTACAGTCCTTTAAATTACAACCACATGAATAGTTCAGCTTTCCAGGATTATTAACATGCTTTACAAAAGGTAAGAGTTTCAGCTCCTAGAAGACGTAACACTACCAAAGTTGTAACAGCTGTCAAAGAGTCCCAGTATAACATTCTTCCCAACAAGGCTGGGAAAATTATGCTGATATTAATAACAATGGTGCTAATTTGGAGACGGATATCAACTTGGATGAATGATGCAGAAACAGCATTATATTGACAGATCGGAACAATCCCTGGTCTGGATAACCTGGTTACTCACAAGCCATTATCTTGACATCAACTGATTCCCAAACAGATAACGCATGAATTTTCTTAGTTTCTGTCAGCTCGACTTGGTTGGGAGAATACTTAGTTCTGAGACAAAGTTGTGAATTCAAACCTCAATGTAGGTCTGACATATATCGTCACCTTACATTTCAGTGCAGTACTGAAAGAGTGCTGCATCGTCAGAAACGTAATCTGTAGGATGAAACATGAAAACATCTGTCCACCCATTCAGGATTGGACTCCAAAGAAGAAGTTCTTCTGGTCTTCCGGCCAACATTTCTCCGGATCTGATAATTTATTAAAATACTTTTTGCAGGATCTTGCTGTGCACACATGAACTGCTATGTTTGCCCCCTTGACAGCAACTGAATTATTCATTGCAATGTGCTTACAGACATCCAAAGAAAATAAAAAGCAGTCTGGGAGCAAATTCTTACTATAATGATGCATAATTTAAGGGAAACAATACTGGCAATTTTTTTTTTAATTCTTTTGTAGGATGTGGGTGCTGCTGGCCAGCCAGCAGCTTTTGCCCATCCACAGTTGCCCTTTAGAAGGTGATTATGTTAGCATTAAGACATTATTGTGGCTTAATCTTCACAAATCCAAGCAAATGTACTATATCTCTGAGGACAGCCAAAGTAACTTTAAATGAAAATCTCTTCTAAGCACACCACCAACTGTACAATCAACCAAACAAATAGGGGTCAAAACAAGTTGCCCTTAAATTAAAAAGGCGCCCTTAAACTGCCAAATTAATGTTGACTCCCATTTCTAAATAATTTTACTATCTCACATTTTGAACTAATAAACTGGATCCTGTTTGATGTCTATTATTCCAGTCAACTCGACAAAATAGTTACATCAATCATGCCAATATTTGGATCAGTGTCAAGTTAACTACTTTATCACATTGGCAGAGCAACGATGTTATTACTTTGAAACAATCCTAGTTGTCAAGTAACTATTTTCTTTATAGGAAAAAAATTAAAACACTTGGTAATTAAAAGGGTTATTCATTACACCACGGCATGCAGTGGAGATTTGATAGTCATTCCTTATTTGTTATCGGCTCAAAATCCTGGAGTCCATCACAATTAGCAAAACAATGGAAATGTTTAGAAAATGGCTCACCAGCATTCTCTCAAAAGTAATTTGGGATTGGTGCACACATCCCAGAAACTAGTACTCAAATTTATAGGTTGGACTGCGATCTTTGAACAAGCTAAATTGCATTTCACATAGACTTCCATGACATCAAAACTCCAGTTGTGCAGAGTATCAGAGCAGCTGCTCATGCATGTTGGTGAGCAGGCAACTGATCCCTTTTTCTTGTCAAAAGGGAATTAAAAGTTGAAAACCTAGTTTACTATTGCTCCAAGAGATGAATTTTTTGTTTCAGTTTGCACTTAACTAGAATTTCCAAGCAATGAGATCTTATGTCTGTTTTTTAGAGTCGTTTTACATTGACAAGTTGATTTCCTCCTCTTCAAAGAAAGATTTTACATTGGGTACCACAAGATTGGACTTAGATGTGAAATGGAGAGTAATTTACTATACTTCTAGAAGTGAAGGGACTAGATCATGGAATTTATTTACTGGTTCCTTAATACATCTGTCTTTTCCATACACCATAGCATAAAGCTTATTAGGAAATTTACAATACACAGTGCAGTCAATGGAGGCAAACTCAAAGCTTTCACTGCTTTGTGCCCAAATTGATATTGTTAGTTCAATGGGTACAAAACCAGAACACATCAATTCAAAAGTAATATTTTTACAGTTGGAACTTTTCCAAACCTTGCAATTCATCATTCCCATTCCTTATTAAGTAGAAGACTCCTAAATCAAGTCGCTTCCAGATACAACAAACAAATTTGAAACAGAAGCTCAAGCCTGACCTGCCATTGAATAAAACAAAGGCTGATCTCTTTGTTGCCTCAACTCCACATTCCTGACTATTCGTTATGAATATCAACATCAAATAATAAGTAAATTTGTTTCCCCTGTTAAAAACTGCAATTGCTCAAGGTTTTGCGGTTGATTTACTAGTTGACGTCTTAAGAGAGATGGCCCATTAAAATCTTACTTAAAACTCACTTCATGATTAAATCAGATAATGGCTAAACTGAACCTCAACACCATTTTCTCTGTGCTTCATCTCATTTGTTCACCTTAACAAAACTACATCAACTTCAGTCATGGAAATTCAACCCCAGAATCCAAAGCCTTTTGCATGGGAAGAGGGCCAGATTTCTAACAGTAGTTTAATAGTTTACTTCTGTTTGCACTTGCTCAGATTGTAAAACTGTGTCCCTTGTCCTAAGGTCTGGCACAAAAGAAAATAGCTCCCTGTCACTAAACTTCAAATCTTTGACCATTTTAGATATCCTGAATTGACTGCCTTAAACATTCCAAACAAAGCACAGAATTATAGAATAAAAACCAAAAGAACTGCAGATGCTGTAAATCAGGAACAAAAACAAAGTTGCTGGAAAAGCTCAGCAGGTCTGGCAGCATCTGTGGAGGAGAAAACAGAGTTAATGTTTCGGGTCCACTGACCCTCCCTCAGAACCACTGATTTAAGGTCCTTACCCTCATCTGTTTCTCTTTCTTTTTCCGTACATCATCCCACTCGTTCACAATTCTTCCCCAGAGAATCCAGGAATCTTCTTCCAGGTGGCTTAGATTACTTGAAGCAGAAGAACTGGATACCAATGAAGATCCACTATTTCGACGAGATCCATTTACAGATTTCAAAGATTTGCTATCAGTCTCCAAAAGCCTGCACAAAAACATTCAGTCTTTTAAATGAAAGTGAAGTGAATATCAGACTAGGCTACTAAAGGCTGAGATGCATAAAAATTATGGACAAGTGTCTATTTTGCCATTGCTACAATTCAATTTAATTACCAAAAGAAAGTGAAAGGTTAAGGAACATACAATTTTTATTAGATCAAGAGGCCACTGCAATAACCGGGGTGGGGGAGGTCTACAGTTTTACATTTCATGGCATGTCTTGCCTATGAAGTATCCAACTTTTCTGTTCTTTTAAATCCTAATAGTCTTAGCCTGAGAGAGTCATTTAATGCTGGCAAATGCCCGAGTGACTGAAGACAACAGACAGAGAAACTAGAGATAGTAGGAACTGCAGATGCTGGAGAATCCGAGACAACAAGGTGCAGGGCTGGATGAACACAGCAGGCCAAGCAGCATCATAGGAGCAGAGAAACTAAACTAGCACAGAAAGTTGCATTAAAAAGGTAGTGAAAATTTGATGAGTTGGTTCCCAATTTTTCTGTAATTCATTATACTATAAAAATCTCTCTATTCTTGGCCCTGTAAATCTGAAGAAAATACTTTTTCCTACTCAGTTACTTCTGTAGCGCTGTAAGCCCCAACAAAATAATTTAGAAAGAGATTTTGAATCAAGATGGAGTTGCCTGGACCTATACTAACAGATTTGAGCTTGATCACCTGAGTTCTTGTTTCTAATGATGTTGTTCTAGAATGGTTATGGTACACAGATAGTCAGTCAGAAAAAGACATTTGAAGGCTGAGCAGATTTTGAAGTAGAGGCTCATAATATGGCAGTTCGATTGTCAGCGATGTCAGATATTTCTTAGAACATCTTTCTGTGTATTTGATTATAGGGTTGTTAAATTACTGACAGCAAAGTATCAGGTACAGTTTACTATTTTGATTTATGAAATCAAAACAATTTAAGGCAAATATTTTTGTTGCAACTTTCACTGGAAAAATCATGTATTTACATTCATTGAACTTCCCTGTTGCCACACTCGTTTACAATACGGTAACCAGATTCAAAACAAACTATGCCACTGTGTATCTACCAAAGCATTAAAAACGTTTTGAGTACTCATTATATTTCAAGAAGCGATAAAGGTATACAACAAAAAACACGGGAGAAATCTACCAACACCTTCCAGAGGACGAGGAATAACAAAAAGATATAGGTCGGTTAAGTAAGCGAGCAAAGATATAGGGGAGATGGTGGTGTAGATTAGTACAGCTACTGACTAGGAAAGCCAGGGTGTTATGACTTATGGCAATGGGAATTGAATACAAAAGAGTAGAGAAACTATACTTCCAACTGAATAGTGGACTGGTGAGACTGCATCTGAAATACTGTGCATAAGTCTGGCCATCTTATTTAACGAAGAAAGGATGTAAGTTAGTTTTAAATCTGAGATAGGTAATACCTTTGATTAACAAAAAATTAAGCGGTGTGGCCAAAGGCAGGTATATAGAGTTAGGCCACAGATCAGCCATGATCTCATTAAATGGCAAAACAGACTTGTGGGCCTCAAAGTCCTGTTCCTATGTTCTTATATAAACGCGTTTGAGGCAGTTGGGAGAAGGTTTAGCAGACTGGTGGAATGAGAGGATTGTCTTATTCGGAAAGGTTGAACAGACTGGGTTTATATCTACTAGAGTTTAGAAGAGTTGGAGGTGTCTTCTTCACCAAAAGTAGCTGAGGCTTCCTCATTGAACGTTTTTAAAAAGTTCAAAAAATTATCTACCTTAATAGTAAAGGAATTGAGGATTATGGTGAGAGGGTGCCCATCTGCCTGCCCTTTCAATATCCTTGGATATTTAGTTCCCAGCACTGATTCCCCTTGCAGCCATGTCTCTGTGATACCCACAACATTGAAACTGGCAGGTACAATAAATGCTGCAAGCTCATTTACCTTATTTCGTATACTGTGTGCACTTAAGTACAACCCCTTGGCCCTGCGTTGACTGCCACTCTTCTCGTAGTTGTCCCCTTATCTGCTGTGCCTAAAGTTGGATGCCTGGCCCCTTCCATAATCTGTCCTATTACTTGTTCTGGAAACTTTAATAACCTCTGCTGAAACCTTCCTCTTTAACGTTTTCAATAATTTTCCATGCAACTGAAGCCACTCCCCAACTATTTAGTTCAAAGCCTAAAGTTTCCTAATTCGTCAGGGGGTCCCAGCATGGTTCAAGTGGAGCCCATCCAATTGGAACAGCTCCCTCTGTCCCCAGTAGTGGTGCCAATGTCTTATGAATTGGATCCCATTTCTCCTACAATCTTTGAGACACATTTTTAATCTTGTTGACCCTGTGCCAAGTTGCTTGTGGCTCAGGTCGTAATCTGGACATTACTATCACGTTGGTTCTACTCCTTAACTTTTCCCTGCAGACCTGCAAAATCTTCTCCACTCAGTTTCCCTTCCCCTTCTCATTTACAATTGAATCTGTCACACTCTGCATAAATATTTTTCCTCACATCACCAGTATTCTTTTGCTAATCACTAAATCTGTTCCCTCTAATTCCCAGTGCTTCTGCCAAAAAGAACAATTTCATCATCTCCATGTTTATGCCACCCATGATTCTGAACACTATTTTCAAATCTTCCAACTTTCCCCAAGGAGAACAATTCCAAATTCTCAAATTTACCCATAAACGTGCAGTCTCTCATGCTAGGAACCATTCCTACAAAAGCCTTACCTGAATACACTAATGCCTCTGTACCCTTCTTATTTAGGTGTGATGCCCCTAATTGGTTATAAATATCCAGCAAAGGGCAAACTAATGTTGAGAACTAAAGAAGTAGGAGCAGGGGTAAGCTAGACTGCTTTGAGCCCACTCTGCCATTCCAACAGAACACAGCTGATCTTTCTCAACACCATTTTCCTGCAAGATCCCATATCCGTTGGTAAATACCACTTCTTTTTATTCTTCTCTATGTTTCACTGTGGACTGAAATGCGACAAGGACTGTTTTAAAAGCCAAGGATTGTGAAAAGGACTGATGCACTTTTTATAAGAAAGTTACAAAAGCTTATTTCATGTGGTGCTTATACTTTGTTCAATCACTGCGGGGAGGAGGTTGGTTGCAGACGGACTAGCAGCAGGGTATAAAGTGAAATTCAGCCAACAAAAAGCAGCCAATTGATAACTGATCTCTACTCCACAAACCCAATGACAAAAGCCATTAAAAACCAAAAGAACAGCGGATGCTGTAAATCAGGAATAAAAACAAAGTTGCTGGAAAAGCTCAGCAGGTCTGGCAGCATCTGTGAAGGAGAAAACAGAGTTAACGTTTCGGGTCCAGTGACCCTTCCTCAGAACTTGTGACAAAAGCCATTAGCCAGCCAACAGTTGTGACTTGCTGCTGTATAGCTGAATGGCTTGTGGGTGTGAACAATATTGCCAGAAGCCATTGGAAGGGAATTTGGTGGCTCTCTTTCTGAAATTAAAAAAGCTGAAGCCTGAAGAAAGCCAGTCATTTCTGCCTACCTGCTTTAAGCTGCTGCTTTCAACCACTAAGTCAGAGAATTTATAATCTGTGAACCAATCACTGTGTCTATACAAGAAAATGATAAGTACCTGGAGAAAAGAGGTAGAAGAACAGCAAAAGAATAATTTCTGAAAACCTTGCAGACAAGGGTGTTGCGAAGTTGGGTAGAGTACTTGTGGATTGGAGGGAGGAAGTTAGAATTTAGTGTTTGTAAAATGCTAGGTGGGAAAAGGATTGTGTGGTCCCTTTGAAAGATCATGTGTTTTTTCTATGCTTGAAGACTTAAAATGGATGTCTGTGAGCAACAGCTTGAAAATTTGCCAATACAAAGAGAGCACCCAAATTGGAATATTTGTATCAAAACACCATACAGGTAGCAGGCCAAGCAGCAGTTTTTAACCAAGACAACATGTTTTGAATTTAGCCAATCAATTTGAATCAGGCACTTAGATACGAAAAACCAATTAAATTTAAATCTGATGGTTTTGACAACATAGGACCAATCATATTGTAAGAAATATTGATATATGTCATCAAGGATATAAAAAGGTGACAGTTGGACAAAGCCCCAGAGCTAGCTACTATCCGGGGCAAAGCTAATGACCCTCAGCTCTCGAGAGAATTGCTGACTGTCACATCCTCCTCTATGCCTTAGAGAAAGCACCATCTAAATAACAATAGCACCAACTGCATAACTAGTTAATATTCCTGACAGGAGAATCAAAGGAGAAGGTACAGAATATTCCCAAAGACACGTAACCTGGCTGTAATTTTAACAGGCTAAATGCTTTTTTTTTTAATATAAATGGGACTTGTATTTATTGGACTAGCATGCCAGTAGAAACTTGCTTTATTCAGGAATAGTTAGAAGAGATTTATTCAGTTTGTTAATAGCTTAGTTAATTTGTTCACTGTTAGAGTTAGATAAATAAATTGTTACTTGTTGATTTTAAAGTCAGCATCAGGGATTTACTTTATTTAACCACTAGAAATTGCTGAAAGGCGCATTACACCACTTTCACACTTCTTTTTCAGATTATACAGCAGGCACTCCTCTTTGGGTGTTTTGGTTTTAGTTCTTGGGGGAGGGGAGGGGAGGGGACGGGACGGGACAGGGTCCACCTCCGCTTTATAACAAGGGTCATAGAACAGTCTTCTTAGATTTACGCTCTACCCATAACACCTATGTTTTTTGGTCCATCTGCGTCTCTACGTGTGCGTGAAGAAGAGTTTCCTAAGGGGGGAGGGGAGGGGAATTAACATTTTAAACTAGTTGAGGTAGAAGTCAACAGTTCATACTTGTTTACTTGTAGCTGGAGTCTATTTATTTGTGATAAATAGCAATTCTTATTCAGTATAGAAACCTGGTTTGTGTTTTCTGTTCACTTGGGTCTAGACAGACAGGTAAATTGGGAAACTTTCATGTATTTTGATAAAATCTTTAATTTTTTGTCAACGCCAGGAACAGCAAGGCCTGATTTCCAGAATGCTACCCC